AACTCAGAAAAAGCGGCTGTTCTGTGGTGCTCTCTGGACAATAGAATTGTAAGAGCTAATATTCCAAGCCTCACAATGCAAAACAGTAACATCAAAAGAGAACGCAAACTGAGGTACGTGGGTATCACTTTCGGTAGAATCCTGTCCTATAGGGATCAAGTGCCAGGCAAAGTACTATCTCAGAGTAGCTGCAGACAAAAAGCACCATCTGCATAAAGCCCTGGGTAGAGCTAATGGTCACAGACTGAAGATGAAGGAAGGCGCAAGCTGAAGACACAATTAGACATGTGTGCAGGCTTCATCCATTTGAGCGAGAAGAGGAGTGGGTCATAATGTCCGAACAATTTTCAGACTTATTTAGGGTTTTAATCACCTCAGGTCCTGAGTGCATAGACTGCTCAGGTGGTGCTGCAGAATAAGAAGTTCAACAAATGATTCAAGACTATTCCCGCCTAAAGGTGAAAACAGGCATGCTTCGTGCAGAGTGGCAAGCATCACTTCAGAGGTGGTTAGTATCCATTGGATATTTTCTCCAGGTCATGCCGATGTGTTGGGAAACACATGCTGACACATACACCCACGCAGACAAACATACAGACACACACACACACACACAGATACATAGATACAGCCACATAGGCACACACGCAGACAAACACACATAAACATACATAGGCAAACATGCAGACAAACACACACTGGGACACACACGAAGATATACACACATCATCATCATCATGTAGCAGGTGCTTTGCAGAACGTAGCTCTCATCACAGTCTGCCTGAAAGAAACTCGGTCTCTCGCCAGTTCTCCCGCCTCATGCATTTTCATACTCATGGAGTCACTTATATCCTGTGCCCATCTTCGTGTCAGTCGGCCCCTGCCCCTCCTTCCTGGTACCATGCCTTCTGGTATAATTTTTTTTATTAAAATGACCAAAATATTTCAGCTTTCGAGAAAGGATGCTGTTTATTAGCCAATCTTCCTTAAAGTTCAGATCAAGGAGGCTAGATGTCAATGTATCTCATCTTCTTTTCCAAGATATTCTGAGAATCTTTCTATAGCAATACAGGGAAGGGCACTAACGGGGGAAAAAAATATTCCCAAGCGGGGAATCGAACCCCGGCCGCCGCGGTGAGAGCGCGGAATCCTAGCCACTAGACCACTTGGGAGAGATACGATAGGCTGTGTATCAAGCTATATAATGTAATTTATCGCTCCCACCCCCCCCCCTAAAAAAGGTTATTAATATTTCAGATTTGTCAATACCTCTTTAAAGTAGGTAGGTTTGTCCTTAAAAGATGCAGATTTACTCTAAAATAACGTCGTTTTTTTTTGTATTTAATTTGCATTCTAGTAAAGTAACACGCAAAGTTCAAGTTTTGCGTGTGTGTTCACTTCACACGTCCTGGGTTGCATTCACTGTTCAGTCACGCAGACTGAGACTTTTTCTAAATAAAAGTAAATACTTGTAGCTTTAGTGTATTGAATAAGTGAAATGATATCTTAGCTAGTTACAACTTATGGTACGTCCTGTGCGTTGTCTGAGTTCATCAACGCCCAGCTTTTTTATGTATGTAAAATTAGTGGTTTCCCTAGTTACAAGATGGCGAGATAAAAACATTTGCACCAAAAGATTCTTATTAAGATTGTTTAGTTTTGTTCATGGTGTAGCACTACTAAAGTTTATAGATTATTCAAACGTTAAAGAAACGTACGTAAATGACTGTCTTCTGTAACGTTGGCATATGATGCTAGACCCGTGTTTTTAAAGCCAGATTAGCGCTCAGTGTCTGATGCTTGTCCGTACTTACGGATAGTATAGAGTATTAATAGTATTATTGTTAATTTTTGGTCATGTTATGGTTATGAGAAGGGAACTGCAACATGCTTTGACAACTGGAGAGATCTGTGGAAAGAGAGAGACACGAAGACAGCAAGAGAAGAGTTATTATGGCATTGAGGGTTGTCAACACACAAACTGATACACTCGGTCGCAGATCGCACACTCTACAGAAGCATGATCGCCCACACATTGGCAAGGTGCTTGATGAAGATAATAATAATTGCAAGACATTCTACTTGCATGTTGCCCCAACCCATATGTGCTCCATTCTCCGATGTAGCTGCTGTCTCAGTGTCTCTGTGCTTAACATACCCTGAAAAGGTTTTTGTTCTTTGATGCGCATCTAGGAGAAAGGCAAGAGGAAGACAAAGAAAGAGATTGAAAAATAGTGTAGCTGAAACCTGCAAAAAAGTAGAACAAATCCATCACATTAGCCACTTGAGAAGTGCAAGACAAATACAGAAAACCATGGCAACTGATATCAGTGAGATGACAAAAAAGTAGAACAAATCAATCACATTAGCCACTTGCAAGAAGTGCAAGACAATACAGAAAACCATGGCAACTGATATCAGTGAGATGACAAAAAAGTAGAACAAATCAATCACATTAGCCACTTGAGAAGTGCAAGACAAATACAGAAAACCATGGCAACTGATATCAGTGAGATGACAAAAAAGTAGAACAAATCAATCACATTAGCCACTTGAGAAGTGCAAGACAAATACAGAAAACCATGGCAACTGATATCAGTGAGATGACAAAAAAGTAGAACAAATCAATCACATTAGCCACTTGAGAAGTGCAAGACAAATACAGAAAAACCATGGCAACTGATATCAGTGAGATGACAAAAAAGTAGAACAAATCAATCACATTAGCCACTTGAGAAGTGCAAGACAAATACAGAAAACCATGGCAACTGATATCAGTGAGATGACAAAAAAGTAGAACAAATCAATCACATTAGCCACTTGAGAAGTGCAAGACAAATACAGAAAACCATGGCAACTGATATCAGTGAGATGACAAAGAAGTAGAAGAAGCCTTACCACCTGTGTCTGCACGCTTGACTACATTTAGTGAAAATATATACACATGAACATATATCCATTTCCAGCAGATGATCATTGTTGCATTGTCCGTTCTCTTAAATTGACAAAATATCTAGAATGCAGCGCATTCAGTGTGTTTGCCCTTTCCACGTGTCTTTCTCTGCCAACTAATGCAGACATCGCTCTTTCATTCCTTCCACCCTGGCATCTGCAGGTGTGTACAGCCAAGACACTTTCTTCGGGCAGGACTTCCATTCTGGTTGGATACCCAGTTTGACTTTTATTTCTAGAATTAAAGCCCAAATATAGAAGGGTAGGGAATGCTCATGCCATCTCTGAAGATAGTTACTCCTAAAATCAAAATGGATGATTAATCAGCTATTGTTTTAAGGGTGTAATAAATTCACTATTTTAACGACACAGTGTTAGGAAGTTTATCTAAATATTTATAGTAACATTTTGTTCTTTATCACAACCCAGAAAAGATGTAAACTAGACAACATTTGAAACAGTAATACAAGTTACATAATTATCTTAATTACACGATAGATAAAATAAAAAATATGTACTCTGAGAACTTGATGAACACCTTGTGTCCTAGTTATAACCATGTGGGTTGAACAGGATAGATTTGTAACAATTGCTACTAACTCTTCATAAAATTTCCACAAATCTTAGCTTTCTACATCTAATTTTTCTAATCCATTTAGGGTTTTCATCTGTTTTTTTTTTAAAGACTACTTTATTTGTTATTCTGTCCGTCCATTGTATTCTTTCAGTTTATTCCACTGCTGCAATGTGCTTATTTTTAAGCTTTAAGACCACAGACAAAATGTTTGTGCCACCTTTTCAATGAATGCTTGCTGTAGTGGAGGCATGCTTTAGTGGATGTCACATAGGGCTTGCAGTTTAGTGCTTCTTTCTGTTCTATCTTCTTGATATCATGGATTAAATGCAGCCTAGTGCCCTTGGCCTCCCTCAGTAATGTTCATCACAAGGTTTCTCTTAGATGTCTTAATTTCCTCTATCCATTTGTTTCCTATTTCATTTCCTTTTTATTAGGTCTTCGTTGATTTGAATTGCACTTACTGTCTTTTAGACCATTACTAAGGCTCTTGTGTGACCCTTGTATCTCTGTCTGCAGCTACGAGCTAAACTGTCCTGGGGCAAATCAAGCTCTAATATATCAATCCTCATTGTGCCCAGAGGCACATAAGGCAGAGACAAACTGTCTCCACTTAATTTCATCCCTAGCCATCCTCTCTGAGTGCGTTTGAGCTTTTCTTTACTTTTTTATGTTTTGTGTCAAATGCTTTCTGTGTGGCCATCTTTTCCAAGGTTTATTTGCTCTTTTTGCATTTTTCTTTCTTCTGTCTTTGACCAATACTCTTTAGAAATCCATTCCTCTCTCACATGTTACTAAATACAGAGTATTTTCTGGGCTGCATTGCAATACACATCTTTAGACTGCTCATTCTTCTTCAATATTTGCTGTCTCTGGTAGGTGGTTAAACACCTCAAACTAATTTCTTAGTTTAGTCTTAAAAATCTTTTCTGACTTTTAATGTTCTGAGCTAGGCGGAATAAAATAATGGGCTTAGTCTTTTTCTTGCTTCTTAATTTAAGCTTCAGTCTACAAATCACTACATTGTAGTCGCTCCTGATGTCACGTTTCCTTCTAGCAAATATATAAGGACTGTAAAATGTGCTAATTCACCTCTAAGCTACAGAACTATTCACGACCTCAGATCACATGTGTTGTTGTACAGGGTTGTGAAAATAAATTTTTGTCTTATGTAACAATATCTGTTTAAATGTGTAAATAGTAGTGGTAATTTAAACCAAAATATCCTGTTGAATTTATCTTGGTTTAAAAAAAAATATATGCAGTTTGTTTTTCTGTTTCAGTATGAGATATTTATGCTTGTCAGTTCTGTTGTTTTATATTGCATAAATTGTGCATTAATTATAACAGATTTTAGAAGTTTAAATTTAGTTTAATATATTTTAAGTGCCCTTTTTAAATAATTGTGATAATGTTATTGTATACCTCTAGATATATTTGCTTTGCTGGACACAAGGAACCCCATTTTAGCAACATGAAAAGGAGAAATAATTTAAATCAGAAAAAGTACTATGCCTTGAAGGAACAGGCCATGAACTACTATCAAGAAAATAAAGTTCCTGAAAAAATGGAGTTAGTTCTAAATAAAATGTTTCATGATAAGCCATCTGATGTTCATGGATATTTGGTAAGTTTCAGTAATTAATTTGGTTAGTTTAGACAACCATCAAAGAATTCCAGGCACAGCAAAAGATGTTCCATCTCTCTCTCTTGTCATCACACACACACTCAAACATGCACAAACACCAGCACCTGCAGTTATGCACACACACACATACACAGATAGTGGTTCTGCAAATAAAAAAAAAAACACTGTTCCTATCTGTTAAAAACTGTGATAATAAATGAAAAAAGAGGGCCATTTGTACACTCTGACATATTAGGCATTTGGTGTTGGAACCATATTTTTACACCCAAAAAAAAAAATAGAGGGGGTTGGGGGAGGTGAAGGGGGGGGGGGGGGTTTTCTCTTACAAACCAGGGCCAGATCTTAGAGCCGAGCTGTAAACCACAACACATAATGTCAGCCATCTGTTTTAAGTGTGAACTCAGAAAAAGAAATTGTACATTCTAAAGATCTTTCATTTATTCATATGTAAAAAAAATTTAAAATTATATTTTCAGAACATCACCTGCAAATAATGTTATTGGCATGACAGTAATACTCTTACTGTTTCCTTCTATTAATGGCTGGTGATGTAATTTTTCTCTGATTTTGACTACATTATCAGTTGAGTGCCAGTTGGTCTATGGTAAATATGAAATCAGCACCCTAATCTCTGTGTATACCAAGGTGGGACAACAGTCCTTAACATTTTTTTTTTAACCCTAACTGTATGTCAGGGTAGAATGTTCCAGTATAAAATTGATTTGCTTGTAAATAGCACAAAGTTGTATACAAATCATCATTATCATCATGAAGTTTCTTGCTGCCTACAGTGGATTTTCATGCTTCTCCACACACACACTTCTCTAACAGCTTGTATCAGTTCTTTTGCCGATCCCTTTCCATGCTATGACAAAAGGCTGCCAACAATATTCTCACTGTGCTGTCTGTCGTTCTTTCCATACACATTTCAAATGGTCACAACATTGTCATGTTTTTTCTTCTCACATCATCAACCTAAAAAAAAAAATGACTGTCTCTTTCTGATGTTTGTGATAAGTTGTCTTTTGGGCTTTAACTTTCAAATCATCAGTATTACCTATTTTTGCTGTCCAAGAAATTTGGAGCAGAAATGAGACTTAGGAAATAAGTATATGGTTCACACATATGTTTCCTGAAAGACATTTTCATTGACATTTTCACATATTCAGGGTGAACATGTAATGTTGACTTCATTCATTATCACCTCAGGTCAACTATTTTGGCCAGTTTTGTAAACCAGCTACCTTAAACCAGGTAAGGTATTCAATTTTACATTTATTTTTAGGTTTTTAAAATTATCATTACTGTTTTAACACATGGTATTAGAAAAAAAAAAGAAAGAAAGAAAGAACAAATCAACATTGATCCTTCAGGATACGTCATAACACAGCAGCAAGCATGTTTGCTTGTTGGCCTGGTGGTGATAGGTTTGAATTCCTATCCAATAGGAATCTCATGTTGACCCAACCTTGAAATCATCATCATCACGTGGACTTCCAGGCAGCATTGGCGCTCATGTCTCTTCACAGACTGCCTCTTTCTTATCATTGTGTGTATGTAGTTTTCTGATCTCATTAGTCATTTCCAGGCAGTCATTGTTTGTTGCTCTGGCTAACTATGATATTTGCAGCATATGTCTCAGAAACCACATAGCCTTGGAATGTGTATGAGCAATTGTTCTGGAAAGTAAAGGTTGGTAGTGTAATATTGACAAAATGATTGGTGCAAACAAATAATGGACTAGCACCATATACCTAATAGCTTCAGGGCACAGAAATGTGGTCTTCAACCCACTTTCGTCACTTATTGATCTATTAATGCATCACCAACATTTTTCAAAAACTATTGCCGACTAGCAAGTCTCTAGAGAAAACTTTATTGCTGGCAATTGCTATTTTAGTATTTTAAAAAAAAAAAAAAACTCTAGGCAAAAATAATTTAAAGAAGTAACTTTCTAGAACCAACGGAGTTAAAGTATAAACAAAGGCAGAATTATTTAAAATAAGACATATAATATAGTGAATCACGCTAATGTGACTTTGGGAATAGAGAAACTTTCTTAGTCATTTAAAAAAGTACTGGAAATTTGAGTTAATGTGTTTTTTCCTCTTAAGATAGGTGAATAGAAAATAAAATACTGTGACTGAAATGCTGTGCTCTTGAATTGTTCTGGGAAATTCTACAAGAATAGTTTGCTACACGTTTCTTTACAACAGAAATTTGCCACATCTGAGATCAGCTTAAGCGTTCTGCACTGTAGTACTTGCTAAGGCTCCAAACTCTTCCACTCATTCAAAACAAGGGGCATAATTAGAAATAAGAAGTGAACATACTATGTTAGGGAAAATAAATAGTGTGTTTGGATCTTCTATTGTAATCTTAAGACGGATCATCATTGTCTATCATCCATATGACAGGGTCCTTTGCAGAAGATCATTCCCATCATAACCTGTAAAAATTCCTTGGTAATTCTCCTGCCTCTTTTATATTCATATTCCTAATGGTGACCACTGTGTCTTACATCCACCTTCATGCTGCTCGACCCCTACATATTATTCCTTACGTCCTTCTTAGGACGTTATTTTTTGTTATTTGAAGCCCCACTCTGGCTTTTGCCAGGGGCCGCAATATAGGCAGGTCATAATTATGGCCAAATGTCTGAACGCGGTTTCTGGGACCTCTCCACAGTGATCCTCATCCGCATGGTGGCACTTTGTGTCATCGGGTGTTTATCGCTTGTGTGATGTCCTGGTGGGGTAAAAAGCCAATCCAACCCCTACATATTTTTGTTCTCACATCTGACTTCTGTTACAGTTCTTTCTAAACCACTGTTGCATTTAATATGATCAAAGCATTTCAGGTCCCTTGACATGTTGCTACTTATGAGTCAGTTTAAGTTGTGATGTTGAAATCTGCTGGTTCAGATATATTTCTTTCTTTTTTAATTAAACAAAGTTGTTTCTTTTTTTCTTTACATTTAAACAAATAATCTAAGAATTTTTGTGTGATACATTTGAGCTATTATGCTCTAATTTTATGCTTTAATAATAATAATAAAAATTAAACGGTCCATGACTCACATCCATTGCTACAAGAAAAATGTATCTGTCAATATTTTTACCTCTGTATTTTGGCTGGTATTGTTCTATGGGCTGTTAATGCTGTTTAATCTTAACATAAAAAAAAAAATAAAGGACTCTTTTCCACGCCATTAGGCGTATAGGGCATATAGGGCTAGACCTATATTTTTATAGACCTCGGCACAAGATGGGTGATGTGGTCAGCATCACGAGGGCTTCCTTTACCTCCCGAGACTGCACCCGGTACCCACTCAAGGCTGAGTCAAGCTGGGAGCCAAGGCCAAAGTCAGGCTCCTCCAGGAAACAAATCCACGACCTTCTGATCAGCGATGAGCATCTTGCCGCTGGGCCACGACGACTCCCCAATCTTAGCATTACTATGGCTTTTTATTTTCTGACTTTTTCTAGTAATTATAGAGCCAAAGTATTTACTTTTTCAACACAAGGAAGTGCACCATGTGTTTACTAGTTGTCTAGTACATTCTTTCTCTCTGCTCAGTGCTGTTACTGCTTAAAACCACATATATCTGGGTCTTATCTCATCTTGATCCTCTTGTACCTTGCGGTGTCGAGGTAAAGTATAATTTATGGAAAAGAGCCTATTTAAATGCTTTGTAAAGGGGGATTCCCAGGGTCCTTGTAATTCCTTCTATCCATCGCTTGCATAGTCAACCTCTTCTTCGCTTCCTGCCTGGTCTGTACATCATTGCTTGCTGTGGTATACTGTTTGTTGACATCCACGTTATATGGCCAAACCATTTCACTTATTATTTTCTATTAAATCCAGAGCAGCTGTTACCCCCATTTTCCTTCTGATTTTATCGTTTCTGATCTTATATCTTCATGTTATGTTGAGACCCCTTCGCAAAAAGTTAATTTCATTTGTAATTTTCCTTTTCTCTTTTTCTGTCATTGTCCAGGTCTGGCATTGGTAACACAGGGTTGGCAAAAGATTGTGTTATAGAGTGCTCTTTAGGTTTCTACTGATAGATGGTTGTTTCTTAGTATTGGTGCCATTTGTCCAATGAGTTAGTTTGATTTGTTACATTTGTTATCAATCTTATCTTCTGTTTCGCCAGCTGATAATATTAGGCTTCATAAGTATTTGAAGTAAATGGGTGAAAGGTGAATAATGTAACAATTTTCAGTGATAGAATAAGCAATAGCAACAGCTGTCTGCATTAGGAAATAAATTACTCACTAAAAAAAGAGTTTGTTCATAAAACAACTGTCTGGGACTGATAGAGTTGAAAGTTTATGGCAATTTCCTCTTTCTTAATTGTCAATTTTGGTTGACATGCAGTTTTGTACAAAGACATTATTTTTATTACTGTTACTTTTGAATTAGCAGATTTTTAAAATGTTCACTGTATCTCCTGACAGATATGATTAATTGTTCTAAATCTATCTAATCTTCATTTTCAATGGTTTAATATTAAAGTTAACAGCAAAACCAGTTCTGGACAGCTGTGGTTTCTGGACCATTCAAACTGACGTATACTGCACTGTAAATAATCTCAAAAAGGTATGTTTATATGTGAATAACTTTGTATATAATTTATTGTTAAGTTTTTCTTGATGAGGGATCACTGCACTTAGGCTAAATATCTATAAACTGTAGTTTTGTCGCCCAGCTTCTGAGTTGAGTGCATGGCATGACACTGTGAGCTGCGTTTGTTTTTCGTTGGCACAGGAGCAGAGCATCTGTGGGGTGACCCGTTTGCTATGAAGCTGAAACTAGGATTACTAGATTACCAGATTACCATAGAGAAAAGTCAAAGATAATGAGAATAAACCAGGCAAACAGTATTCCAGTTTCTCTTGGTGATATCCCACTCCAAGATATCGAGTCATACACCTGTTAAGGCAGTGGTCTATAGATAAAGATCGTTAAACTGACAGATGTTAAAATATGAATACAAAAGGCAAGGGAAGATTTCTTAACACTAGGAAGTTTATGGAAGAGAAAGGAAATTAAAGCTAACACTAGATTTTAAAATCTTTAACTCTAATGTTAAATCAGTAGTGTTGTAAGGAGTGGAAACATATAGAACCACTAAAACAGTTCCTAATAAACTACAAACATACATTAACTGGTGCCTGCGCAGAATAGAGGCAATTAATGATTGAATCACTTTGGAGCTTTGGGAAAAAACAAAGCAAATTCCAGTTGGTCAAGAGGTGAAAAAACGATGAGTAGGTCACAGGCTGAGAAAATCTGAAAACAAAACAGCTAGAATGTCTTTGCTCTGGGACCCCTTTGGAACAAAGAAATAAAAGCAGACCAACCAAAAAAAAAACAAAAAAAAACTTGAAGAAAGGAGCTACAGAGGGAATTTCATATGACAGGAATTGGTGTCAGCTGGTTGAGGGGCCTATGTTCCATTGGGAGACAGGAGAAAAAATACATTTTTTTTGAACAATTACTGCTTACTTTTTTCATTATTTCTGTGTTGTATTGTTCTCTGAGGAACATTGTTCAGAAAAAAACACATGGAGGTCAGTTTATTTATGAAAGCCATGTGACTTCTCTTGTATTGCAGAAGAGGGGATGATGGCCAAAGCAAATTCAGTAAAAATTACAATAGCCATACGGATGGGGGTGGGACAAGAGCACTGACCTGATTTGAGATTCCGGTGATCGTGTGAGGTTGTGAAACATGACAGGCTATGCTTATTGGCAGAATACATGATGAGGTTGATGAGAAATAGCTGTTGTATAGTCCTCCTTATTTTTCTCCTGCCCTCCCCCCCCCCCCCCCCATTACCATTTAATTCCCACTGTTCTGTGCAAGCATGAGTTAATGAATGTTTGTAGTTTATTAGTAACTGTTTTATTTGGTCTCTGTGTTTCAGCTCTATGCAACACTAATAAAATATGATGAAAAAACTGATAAGAAAACTTGTAATATTGAAAGTCTACACCTCTTATCCACAGTACATCAGTTCAACCACAGTTTCAAGGGCAAACATCAAAATTAATTCTGAAGATCAAGAACAGACAGAAAAACTAATCACTAAATCTGTGAAAGCAGGAATTATATTGATAAACTCAGAACTCAGCAATAAAGTGGATGGATTGGATCCTTCAGCACAAGAAAAAATAGACACGGAAATTTTGTGAGTAAAATGTTAGTAACAGTATTAGTAGGTGACCATCAGTCCCTGGAGACCATGTAGTTGTCCTGCTGGTTTTGGGAATAACATGTGCTGTCCGGTGAGATTACAATGATTTCCCCCATGGTTGGAAACAACCTCTGGTGACTTGCTGTATGCCAGTTGAGCACAGGTAACTGCTGCTTCCTGTGTTGTGTCAAAGCTGTTAAAAGACACTGGAGCTACCTCTCCAGGGCACAGGCCTGGGCATGTAGAATTGAAATGCGGGCTGTTGCCCAGGCAGTAGGTAACCCCTCTCTATGTTGCTGGTAATAGAGTAAAATATACAGTTCTAAGAAATAAGGCGTTTACATATTGTTTCTTATCCGGTATATAGTTTACGCCTATTTAATTCATTTAGTCCCAGGCCTTTTTTTTTTAACCCTCTCTATAGTCTTTCAGGCATATCTTTAGATTTGTTAATGCTCAGTCTTCAAAGGATCAGAGAGCAAGGACACACTCAGAAGATCCAGGGTGGTTGAATCCATAAGGTCATCTTCTGTGGTGAATTTAAGATAGAAAATCTCAGGGTTGGCCTTTACTACATATAAAGATGCATGCAAGCATGGGGTATGCCCATGTGCCGGGAACTGCAAGTCATAAGTGTTGCAGCTGGCTAGCCCTTCTTTGAAGGGTGGAAAGCAACACTTAGTAGCCTGCCAACGACCCGCAGGACACAAGCCAACCCCACCTCTAAGCAGGGAGGTCTTAGGCTAACAGTGCTGTGGCTCGCCAGGTCAGTTGGGATCCATCTGGTTAAATGTATTCCCCTAAATTGCGACAGGCTCGGGAAGCGTGGTTAAAATTTTGCTCGAAGAAGCGAAAAGAAGAGAAATGAGACTGGTAGTTATGGAAAACGGAAATGATAGATAGATGTAATATCCGAGGGAGTTCTTCTTCTTCGCATTCACCAGCTGTACACTCCAGCAAAAAGTTCTGGTTGTTCTTCCTATTCTGAACTTTGGTCTTGTTCCAGAACTTGAATTTTGGATGCACATGTTTTACAGATCTGGCTTATTTGAATGCAGTCTGTTGGTTCCTTGCCTCTCAGGCAGATGCACTCTGACTTCAAAGGAAACACACCTGATTAGTCAGCTTTTGTGACATGCTTGTTGGTGGGGGGGTGGGGGGGGGGCAATTGAGATTTTTTTTGGAGGCCCCACCCAATGGAGCCCCAAAATCCACATGGGATGTGGGGAATTTAGATTTACAGGAAAAGTACTAGAAAGACAAAACAAAACAGTACTTTTAATGTTTTTGTAGTAGATAGATAAGGCAAAAATGGAAGGAGGAGCAGGAGTCAGCCCACCTAATTTTGGAGACAAGTCATTCAAAATTATCAACGAATTAGTGTGTGGAACCTCGGGAATTGACGAAGGACTGAGAAACTTTCTGGTGGAATCATGGTGAGGGCAAGCAGGGTTCCACAAAAACCTGCCATATCATTATATGCTTTCCATATAAAACAGACTAGAACAAGAAGAAGCACAAAAGCTGTCGATTAGATATATCTTGAGTTTAGAATACATTTACAAGAAAACAATTTATTTGTCAAAACCAGCAAATATGTGCTTTCAGATTTCTTAGAAAACCTTGTTTTCAGACATTTGTAATTGTTTTTTTTTTTTTTACTAAACTTTGCTGAAGCGTGTTGTGATTTTGTTGTTGCCAGAACTGTTGTGAATCTTCAGAAGAAACTTGATGTGGTCATGCATCCAAATTATGATAGAAGACCCACAGCTATCCCGACTGACAGAAAAGGGACACAAGCCCATCCTTTAGATGATGACAGAAAGAAGATTAATCCTCCAAAGTATGTCCCTCTGAAAAATTGACAGTGAGTTATAAATGTTTTATTGTCGTGCCATTGAAGGGTCTCAGCACACCAACTGGCACATGCTGTTCAGGATTGCAAGCTGTGGAGAAGGATAATTGGCCCATATAGTTCAACATGTTTTTTTCTACCTTCTTAACTTCTTCTTCTGATGTTCATAGTCTTTTTCTCCTCTTTTTTCTTCTTATTTTCTTCATCATTCTCTTCTTCTTCTCCTCCTCATTCATTGTTGTCCTTCTCCTCGTTTATTGCTGTCCCTCCTCCTCCTCTTCTTCTCCTTCTGTTGCTTCTGTGTTTGCCCTCCTTAACAGGATGATTGACATGTTGTGTTGTGGTTTACAGGTAGGCTGCAATTTCTGAGTCTTTCTGCTCAACACAACTAGCTCCTTCTTCCAGTAAATCAAATTTGACAACATATTAGGGGGCACTGGGTCAGTCCCACCCCCCCCTCCCCCCCTTCCTCTTTTCCTTTATATATATTTTTGCCACTTTTTAAAAATATTCTTTTATTTCTTTTGAACTGTGGGTTCCAGTACAAAGACTTTCTAGCTATATTATTATATAATTAGAAGTTGTGCTTCTTCTAAAACTAGAGAAAACATTTCATTTCAAGCAAGACACCAGGTAGGATTGGCTATTCCTTAGGTTTAGGAGTCTACATGATATGTGCAGTTATACTTCTCACATTTGGTCAGATCTTGCTAAGAGATAGATATACAGGCATCCAATGTTTACATGTAATATTTAAAATCTGTCTACACACATTTCTTATGTAATCTTGCAAATATTTTGTATTTGTTTTTGGCAGCATGGATACCTTCTGATTTTCTGTTAACCTTCAGTTCATTCACTCGTTCTTTAAGAAAAAAATAATAAAATGTTTACCACATTCAGCCCTGCTGAAGACAGATTTGGTTATAATTGTGGTGTTTTTTTTTTAATGGCACCAATTTCAGTGGCTTAAATTGTTTGTTGTGTCAATGGTAATGGCTTATTGTTCCTAATTGTATATTGTCCTTTTTGAAAATGCCTGGGTTCTCCCTTTGGTCCTAGTGTGGGATCCCTTTTGTGTGTCCGTCTTCCTGGCTGTCCTTCCTGTGTCTTGATTATGACTGTCTATTATGTTTGGGTTGTTTTCCATCGTATTCTGTATTGTGATATTCTTCCTGAGTTACCGTGTCTTTTGTCCATTCTTGACGCCTCACTCAATATTTGGCTGTCAGTCTTCTCCTGTTGGGGTGGGGGGGGGGGGGGGGGGGGGGGGGGGGGGTCCTTATATAGGGCAGTCATATTAAGGCTCCTAGCTGGGTTCTGAGTATCCCAAGCAAGTGCCAAGGATTTAAAAGTCTAGTTTTTGCATTTAGCTTATATATTACTGAAAAGAGCAATAGAAAGACATTTGGATAGCTTGGCTACATGGCATAGGTAGAACAAGAACATAGACATTATCCCTAATTCTGATGATCCTTTGAGATAGTGAACCATAACTGCCTATGCTTGCCGGAAGGGCACATGATGATTATTATTATATGGTATTTTTCACAACAGTGGTGTTGTATTGGATACATTCTAAGAAGAGACAAGCAGGTACTGAAATGGGAAATAAAAGGATCAGGGAAATGAGGACTGTCAATAGAAACTTTAAGGTGAATGTCGATGAGAGAAGCCAAAAGGTACTGGACTGGATTCCATCCATGATGTCAGAGTTATTACACAGAGTAGAACAGAATTGAGGAATTTACTGTGAGCCTTCTGTCACGTACAGTGGCGCAACAGGATAATGAATGAATGAATGATTCACACACAGTGAAATGTTTATAGTTGCTTAGGCATGTCTTTTGTGACTTCTAATTTAGAGAGTGTGTAAACTGTTTGTTAAGATAATATATGCATTCTTTCAAAATATTTGCAGAGTTAAAAATGACAAGCCAAATGTTGTATTAGCACTGATGGTTGACAGGCCCCTAGAGACCTTTCCCGAGGGTTGTGAAGCAGCTGCAGCAGTGAGCCAAGCTGTGTGTGTCTGTGCGGCCACCTCTAAGGGTATTCCCGTTTATCAGCACATTGCACACTTAGCACAGCAAAATGTAAGTCTGAGAATATTCCTGGCTGTGTTTAGTGACTGTCAGCATGGGAAGTAGTTAATGCTTAGTTAACTCTTTTGCCACAAAACAAAAACTTCTGGTTGGTACCTTTGCCTATTAAAAAAAAAACCTCACTTTTGTGACACACTATAAGAGACAAGGTCATGAGATGTCTAGCTAGCAGAATTCACTGCATCTGTGTCTTAGCAAATGTTCGATGTAGGTTGGGGTGACCAAATAAAAAAAAAAAAGCCCTGGGGGAAAAGGGGGGGGGGGGGGGGGGGGGGGGCTTTATTTGTAAAATGACTATTTATGTAGATTTCTGCATCATATTGTCACATTGGCTACAAGTGGTTACCGGGCAGCTGGGTCACAGGGGTCAAATAAGTGTCACCCTATAATTAGTATGCAGGCACCAGGAAATGTAAGCTAGTTGATTCTATGCTTCATTTGCTTTTATTGATTACCTTCCTTACTCTCTATTATATTTGTTCATGATTTGGACGATACATTTATGTTTTGCACTTTTTTGGGGTGGCGTATAGAATGACTGTTCATCTTAGGGTAGAATGATTGTTTTATAAAGGATTTTTTTAATGAAAAACTGAAAAATGGAAAGTATGGGAACTTGGATTTGTTTTTTTATAGGTCAATAGGGTGAAAGGGTTGAAAAGTTCATTGTTACCTGTGTGCATCGTCATCTTGTTTTATCTCATCATCTATGATCTAGTAAGTTATTGGGGATCTTTGTACACTTGTTAAGGCATATTTCTACAGCTGTTTCCTTGCCAACCTTTGTGCCTTTTTTCCTGCCCTTTTTATAGATCTTCTTAATCTTCTCATATTATTCTCCCTCCACCTCCTTTCCTTGTTTTTCCTTCTCTTCCTATACTCCCTCTGCCCTTTATCCCCTATTGGAGTACAGGCCCTCAAACAACCCTCAACAAGTCACCTTATCTGTTGCCATTTGCTGCAGCTTACCCCATTTCTTCACAGTATTATCTAGAGCTGTACCGAATAGTGATTTTCACTATTCGGCCGAATACGAATAGTGGGACCAACTATTTGGCCAAATACGAATAGTGTATCATCATCATCAGGGGCCTTGCCGACTGACGTGGGCGATTATGCCTCGCCACAATCTGCGATCTCCTGCGGTATATATTATATTATTGCTGACACACCTTCATGCCATGCTACAAGACTGTCAAGAGTCTTCTCTCATTGTCTTCCTCTATCCCTCCTTCCATAGATACTTCCAGTGGTCACAACATGTTCCATTTTTCCTCTCCTCATAACATGGCTGAAAAATGATGATTGTCTCCAATGGTGTCTGTGATTAGTTGTCTTCGGGCTCCCGCCTCTTTCAAAACCTTTTGGTTGCTTTTTTTTTGGCTGTTCAAGGTATTTTAAGCAATGTTCTGTAAAACCACATCTCTGAGGTCTCAAGAAATTGTTTGGCCTGCCTACCGATTGTCCAGGACTCACAACCATTTGTTAAAACTTGATGTAAATAGCAAACAAGAGTTCTTTTTTTAACCTTCAATGACAAAGATATATTTCATAAGATGTTCTTCATTTTATAAAATGCAGTTATTGCCTGTAGCCTGTCCTCTTTTCGACAGTGGCGAGGAAATACAATTTAAATTTTAAGTTTTAAGTATCTTCATGCCTTCTTTACTAATGTCACAATTTATAGCAGACTTTTCTTGATTTTCGCCGCTGCACCCCTGGCATACGCACCCAGTCTTAGAACCTCTGCTGTAATGCCTGGGTCACGTCAGAAGGCAAAGACCTTGCCAACTGCGGTACCACGCAACCGGGTCACAGTTTCCCCCGCTACGACAGACTTAGGCAACAGCAACTTTTGTGTTAATGAGAAAGTTTTTTCTGTCCATCGCAAACGGGTAAAGGTAACCACTATTCGTATTCAGCCCGACCACAACTATTCGGCTGAATACGAATAGTTATTCGGTCCACTATTCGGTCCCGAAGCGAATACGAAGCGAATATTCGGTACAGCCCTAATATTATCCTTATCTCTACTTGTCTTTTCCCATGTGTCTATTTCCCTCAATTTCTTTCTTAAACCTTGAGGGTTTCATTGCAAGCATGTGCTGGTTGTATTATTATCAGTTTTTTTCTCCAAAATGTGTTTTCTCCAATGCCATTGTCTTTTCCAAATTTTCTCATTGACAGATACAAATACAGAGGAGCGTATTAGTCATAAAAAAATTATTACTGCAATTTACAATGTTCGTAGATTGCATTTATACACATATGTATGTATACATTTTCAGCATAATGCTGACCACATTACCCACCGAGTGCCGATTGGTCTGTAAAAATATGGGTACTCTTCCCATATGCCCGATGCACCTAAGGGCGTGTAAAGGGATCTTTACTTTACTTTTTTATGTATACATTTTAAACTTGTTTTTTCAGGAATCTGAAAATGATCTCCGCATGCCAATCCCTATGGTAACCATACTGGAAAGTGGAAAGTCCACATCTGGGAAGGTGATCTGTATTAAAGAGTTTCTGCTGGTGCCTGAAATTAATATGCCCACAGATAAGGTAAATCACTTGCTTCAGTTAAATTTTTTTTAAAAATCAGCTCCATAGCCATACATTTTAGGCTATGGACACCGTCTGACCAGTCTGTGAAACCACAAATATTGATCCTGAAGAAGGGGGGTGGACACCACTGTCTCCAAACTTTGAAATTTTTTTTACAAAAGATGCTGTGAATGAATTTCAGTTAAATATGTACAGAGGTCCAGTTCCTTATTATCGACAACTGTGGCAGTATATATAAACACATGTGGTTACTCAACTTTACATTCCCAGCCCGGTCCAGACTACAGACTATGTAACTAGCCACTGGGTGACAGAAATATAAGAGATTTGTATGCATTCCTGAGATTTATATGCATTCCTGAGATTTGTAAGTGTTCCTGAGATTTGTATGCATCCCTGAGATTTGTGTTCCTGAGACTTGTATGTGTTCCTGGGATTTGTGTTCCTGAGATTTGTATTTGTTTCTGAGATTTGTGTTCCTGAGATTTGAATGCATTCCTGAGATTTGTATGCATTCCTGAGATTTATATGCATTCCTGAGATTTGTATGTGTTCCTGAGATTTGTATTCATCCCTGAGATTTGTGTTCCTGAGATCTGTATGCATTCCTGAGATTTGTGTTCCTGAGATTTGTGTTCCTGAGATTTGTATTTGTTTCTGAGATTTGTGTTCCTGAGATTTGAATGCGTTCCTGAGATTTGTATGCATTCCTGAGATTTTTATGCTTTCCTGAGATTTGTATGCGTTCCTGAGATTTGTATGCATTCCTGAGATTTGTATGCGTTCCTGAGATTTGAATGCATTCCTGAGCCTTGTATGCGTTCCTGAGATTTGTATGTGTTCCTGAGATTTGAATGCGTTCCTGAGGTTTGTATGCATTCCTGAGATTTGTTTGCGTTCCTGAGATTTGTATGTGTTCCTGAAATTTGAATGCGTTCCTGAGATTTGTATTCTTTCCTGAGATTTGAATGCATTCCTAAGATTTGTATGCGATCCTGAGATTTGTATGTGTTCCTGAGATTTGTATGTTTTCCTGAGATTTGTATGCTTTCCTGAGATTTGAATGTGTTCCTGAGATTTGTATGCGTTCCTGAGATTTATATGTGTTCCTGAGATTTGTATGCGTTCCTGAGATTTGTATGCGTTCCTGAGATTTGTATGTGTTCGTTAGATTTGTATGTGTTCCTAATATTTGTTTGTGTTCCTGAGATTTGTATGTGTTCTTGAGACTTGTATGCTTTCCTGAGATTTGTATGCTTTCCTGAGATTTGTATGCTTTCCTGAGATTTGTATGCGTTCCTGAGATTTGTATGCGATCCTGAGATTTGTATGCGTTCCTGAGATTTGTATTCGTTCCTGAGATTTGTATGTGTTCCTGAGATTTGTATTCATTTCTAAGATTTGTATGCGTTCCTGAGATTTGAATGCTTTCCTGAGATTTGTATGCGTTCCTGAGATTTGAATGCATTCCTGAGATTTAAATGCGATCCTGAGATTTGTATGCATTCCTGAGATTTGTATTCTTGACTGAGATTTGTGTTCCTGAGATTTAAATGCGTTCCTGAGATTTGAATGCGTTCCTGAGATTTGTATGCTTTCCTGAGATTTGTATGCGTTCCTGAGATTTGTATGCTTTCCTGAGATTTGTATGCGTTCTTGAGATTTGTATGCTTTCCTGAGATTTGAATGCATTCCTGAGATTTGTATCTATTCCTGAGATTTGTGTTCCTGAGATTTGTGTTCCTGAGATTTGTATTCGTTTCTGAGATTTGTATGCATTCCTCAGATTTGTGTTCCTGAGATTTGTGTTCGTTTCTGATATTTGTATGCGTTCCTGAGATTTGTATTCATTTCTGAGATTTGTATGTGTTCCTGAGATTTGTGTGTGTTCCTGAGATTTGTATGTGTTCCTGAGATTTGTATGTGTTCCTGAGATTTGTATGTGTTCCTGAGATTTGGATGCTTTCCTGATATTTGTATGCTTTCCTGAGATTTGAATGCATTTCTAAATTTGTATGCTTTCCTGAGATTTGAATGTGTTCCTGAGATTTGTATGCGTTCCTGAGATTTGTATGTGTTCCTGAGATTTGTATGCTTTCCTGAGATTTGAATGTGTTCCTGAGATTTGTATGTGTTCCTGAGATTTGTATTCATTCCTGAAATTTGTGTTCCTGAGATTTGTATGTGTTCCTGAGATTTGTATGTGTTCCTGAGATTTGTATGTGTTCCTGAGATTTGTATGTATTCCTGAGATTTGTTTCTGTTTGGTTCTCATCCTTGAGGTGTTTTCCATGCAGACTAAAATCCTGGATGGGAATATCTGCCTACCTGTTTGATCAACTTCAGACAGAGGAATGGAATGTACAGCTGTTCTCAGCATTGTAGAATTGTTAACAAAGCCAGCAGTGCTTTCACTTCAATCACAAAAGCAGTATGGCAATGGATGATCTGGCAGTATCAAAGATTTGAGATACAAAGCTACACTCATGCTTGTAACCTGATTCATTGAGAGTTCTTTTTCTTTTTCTTCTTCCGCATTTTCTTTTAACATAGATGGTTGGAGTATTGTTTTGGTTTACCGCTGGGCTGCAATATCTGCACATTTTGCCCAGCACATTTGATTTCAGCACATCCTTAATTAGACACTTTCTACATCATACTTGCAAAAGGAGCAGTTGGTATAGTTATTTCCTCCTCCCCCTTCAAAGTGAGACCTGAGTACCCACACAGAGAATTCACTGAGACAGATTCAGAAAGTGGAAGAAGATTTCATGCACCAGCTAAAATGCTAACATAAATGCACTATTAAAGAAAGCTGCCAAATTATTGATGAAATAAATTGACGTACAGTTATTGATCCTGAAGTATTTAAATACTGTATAATAAAAAGGTTATGAAAGATAATTTCAGGTTTAAAAAAAAATCTATTATAAATCACAGCTTTAAATATATCAGAATCACAACCTTAAAAGTCATATGGTTTCTGTAATCATCATCATCATGTATCTGGTCCTTTACATCACAGCCCGTCTGAAAGAAGCTCCATTTCTCACTTCTTGCACATTCCTACCCAGGGTGTCTTATTTATCCTGAGCCCATCTTTGTGGTTGTTGGCGCCTGCTCCTAATTCCTGGTACCGTGCTCACTGCTACAATTCTTTCCAATCCACTGTCACACTTGATATGGCCAAACTGTGTCAGTTTCCAAAACAAAAATATTTTGTCCAATACATGTGCCATATCTGGTTTGATATAATAAAACAGTGGTCTAGACAAGAAAATTATGGCTGTGAGCCATACACTAATGAGGCTTTGGCTCAGCCTTGAGCATGTGGTTCTTGCAATGTTTTGATCTTGGAGATCCACTATACGAGAAGACAGAATCTCATGAACGGAGAAAAGCAAAATATTTACAGAGCAAAGTCAAAAAAAGCTGTCCAGAAATGAAATGTGTCAACCAATTTTTTTTTCTTTCCTAGAGAGGAATCAAGACATACGGTTAACTCAGTGGCCAATCATAATTTAAAAGAAAAATGTACACCATCCCTCATTTTTATCTGCTCATCATCATCGTGATCCCATAACACTACATGTCGTTGGGTCACCAGTTTTTATTGACTGATCATCTCTCTCCACCTTTGGTGGTCAGCTGCAATGGACTTGATGGTTGCATGCCTGAGGCCTGTCCAGTCAATCAGGTTCAGTAACCAGGTCTAGCCTCTTCTCGTCTTTCCCTCTACTGAACCCTGCAGTATTGTTTTTGAGAGGCTGTTAGATCTTATTACATGTTCTTCATCATCATCATCATCATGTAGCAGGTACTTTGCAGAACGTCGCTCTCATCAGTCTGCCTGTAAGAAACTCGGTCTCTTGCCAGTTCTCCCGCCTCATGAACTTTCACACTCAAGGAGTCACTTATATCCTGTGCCCATCTTCGTGTCGGTCGGTCTCTGCCCCTCCTTCCTGGTACCATGCCTTCTGCTATAATTTTTTCCAATCCGTCGTGGCGCTTGATATGACCAAAATATTTCAGCTTTCGAGAAAGGATGCTGTTTATTAGCCAATCTTCCTTGATGTTTAGATCTTTCAAGATGTCAATATTTCTCATCTTCTTTGTCCAAGATATTCTGAGAATCTTTCTGTAGCATTTCAGCTCAAAAGCCCCTATTCTCCTTCTTAAGGACTGAGAGATAGTCCACGACTCACATCCGTATGTAGCCACAGGGAACATGCATGCTCTCAAAATTCTAATTTTTATCTCCTTGCTGGTGCTTAACCATAGACTTTTAAGGCAGTTCAATCTTTGCATTGCTATGGCCATCCTCCTTTTAATTTCTGTCGAAGTCTCCATTGTTGTTTATTATAGAGCCTAGATATTCAAAGTTTGTGACATTTTCAATTTCTTCATCATTTATTGTTATTTTTGGGTGACAGCCAGTTTTATCTGTGGACATTATTTTCGTTTTCTTTAAATTTAAAATTTTCTTTAAATTACATGTTCATACCATTGCATTTTTCGACTTTTCACTGTAGTTAAAAGAGGTTTATAGTAGCCAATGTCCTGTATAATTATATGGTGAACTTCTTCCTTTGTAATGTGGTCTCTGTATGATATGCCAAGAATTTTTCCAAAACATCACATTTCTGGTGCTTGTATCATCGAGTTCAGCTTTTAAGGTCCACGTTTCACAGCCATATGTAAATGTAGTAATAACTAGTGCTCTGAGCAATCAAATCTTAATTTTGCATGAAATGTTTTTGGATCTCCATGATATTTTCTGCTTGGCAAGGACTGATATTGTCTGGGCAATCCTAGACATGATTTTTGGTCTTGACCCCAGGTCGCTTAAAATGGATCCTAAATATTTCAAATCATCGACTAATTCTAATTTGTTGCCTTTAACAAAGATTGGTGAAGTTATACCAGCTGGATTATTAGTCATTACTTTTGTTTTTTTTCTGTTTTTATTTCCAAGCCATACTTGGTTGATGTTTCATCGAGCAGATTTACAAGCTTGACTAGCTCTTGTTTCTTTCCCGGTTGATATCATCTGCATTGTTTGTAGAAGTTTCACCTCCTATACTGTTTCATGATGTTATTCTAGGGCGTAATACGTAATTCTTTCTAAGAAGATACTAAACAGTGTTGGAGAGAGGAGGCAGCCCTGACAGACTCCTACTGTTGTTTGAAATGAGCTCCCTATTTGTCCGTCAGCGTGCAGCGCTGACTGGCCTTGGCATAAAGCTGTTCTGTTTCTTTCATGTATACACTTCCTCTCATGATGATCGGTAGCTAAATGTTTGCGTCTGGTCTGTTCTGGGATGGTTGGCACGGTCCTTTGTAACCTGGGCGATGACCGAGCTGGTGTGATATCTGATCTATTTGTCAACAGCAGGGTGCGTTTCAGGCAGCATTTCAACCATGGTGGGGCCCACTTTTCTCCAGGTGCCATTTCCTTCTTAGCCTGTATCCTCATGGATACAGTTTCCAGTCTGCACCATGGGGAGGTGGGGTTGGCTTGTTCTCATGAGACAGCAGCAGGCTACTAATTTTCGCTTTTCACTCTCCTAGGAGAGCTAGCTGCCCCCAGCACTGCTGGCTGCTGTGCCAGGCGTGACCACATCTTGCAGACCTTTACTGCTACATCTTTCTAAAACTTATTTATCATTTATGTATTTTTTTTAAAATACAATTTTTATGCTTCCCAATGAGAATCTGTTAGTAATTATTAGTAGTATTGATTTCCAACAAAACAATAAATTATTCTCAAAGAAAGGTGTTTGAGCAATCATATATTGCACTAGATGTATGAGTTGCTTGGATGTGACTTTCCTGCTGTATACCTCTTCATCCCCCTTGCATACACATACACCCACCCATACAAGCATGCACACAAATTTCCATGAGGGACCTTCAAATAAAAACATTAAAAGTGTGATAGAAGTTACAACAACCATGCCATTGTCTTGTAACCTGTTAGTATTGTTGTTAAGGATGTCAAGAGGGTTAATTATGTGATATCACAGTGCAGATGAACATGGTGATGTCATAGTGACAGTTAGATGGCTGCCTTACTTTTTGACATGCACTAAAAAGTAGATGCATAAATATATATATATACACACACACACACACACACCAGGCTTATTTTATACACACACACACACACACACACACACACACACACACACACACACACACACACATATATATATATATATATATATATATATATATATATATATATTTTTTTTTTTCTTTTCGTTTAGTCAACTGTCTGTATTCCTGTTAAAGGCATATTAGTCCATCCTGAGGACACATCTCCAATTCTGTTTTGTCTTTTTTTAAAGAGCATGTGCACATTAATTTAAACAGAGGTGAAGCCAAATATGTTCAAGTGATTTCATGCAAATATATTTATCATGTAAATAATTGGTCTTCTTTCACGTTGCAGAGTGTTGAGCATATTCAACACATTTTTCACTATGTCAGTAAGCAGTTGGTCACAAAATATGGGGTGAGTTTTTCTTAAATATTTCACAGACTTCTTTTTTTTTTTTTTTTGCATGAAATAGATTATCTGTATCTACAGTGTTGTCTCTGGTATGAACTTCACTGTCTTTGTAATTCACTCACCTACTTTTAAAGTTTGGCTTGCACCAGTGTTTCTATTTCACTGACATTTTCTTAAACCTCTTTCAGCCCCAACGCATGGCATATAAAGCCTTGTGTCCCAGCTGTCATATCTTCGTCATCTTCTTCTGCATTCATCTAAAGATGTAAAAATGCGTTGTGCCCATTTACACCATGGCTGTAATTTTTGCGCCTTTCGGCCGACACATCCAACTTCTGGAGGCATTTATTCCCCAGGTTAGCCTTTATGGACCTGTTATATTATACATTCTTTTACAAAAAAAAAAAAAAAAAAAAAAAAAAAAAAAAAAAAAAAAAAAAACTTGTTGAAGTTTTGCACTTGTTAAATATATATTATATGTTCTCGCGTAAAAATGCACTTAAATATATATATATGTTTTCGCGTAAAAGTTTTGACCATATCCACGCGTAAAAGTTTTTGCACTTGTAAATTTATTTATATGTTGATAGTTTTGCACTTGTTAAATATATATTTATATGTTCTCGCGTAAAATATGGCCAGTGTGATGTTGACCACATCACTCATCAGATGCCGATCAGTCTTTAAAAATAAGGATTTACCATCATTTGCCAGGTGCACTGAAGACATGAAAATGGTCCTTTAGTTATGTTTTTTTTATTTCTTAAGTTTGAGCATGACTGCATATTTGATTATATGCGTATGTTGGGATGCCTGAATGCTTATATCAGTCAACCAAATAAATGCCATCTCCACGATGAAAGTTGGCTGCAATGGACCTCAAACACATTCTTGCTCTTTGGTAGTACATTCTCTCGGACTGCTGTTTGTCCATGTCTTTCTGTTGTCCTGCCACTTATATCATTGTGTACCTCTTGTCTTCAACTTTTCCCTCCATTATGGTTTTTTTGAAGGGTGTTATGTCTTATTGTGGCCAAAATATTTAAATTGTATCTTTAAAATTTCCTTCAGCAACTTTCTTTTCATTCCAAATCTCAAGTCATTCCCAAATGTACACATGTATGCACATACACAAAGTCTATCTATGTGCGTGAATTTATGCTCAACAGTCTAAATATGAATATTTTGGATTGCATTTGTCTGTGTCTGTGTGTGTAAATGGGCAGGTGTTTGTGCTGCATGCATGTTTAGTGTATGGAGATTGCTAGAACTCAGAATAGACAGACATGAAATATTTTCATTATTTTGAAGTCAGACACTGGAAACAGACTTGAAAGCTTATATATCATCTGCCAGGTACTAGGCAGACTTGTAAACGAGACAGGAGCACTGTGCCCACCTCTGGAGAATGTTAACCAAGGTCTTGACCTGTTGCTGGAAGCTGTTAAAGCCGTGGGACTGACCATTGGGGAAGATATGTATCTGGCAATCAACTGTGCAGGATCAGAGTTTTATGATTATGTATGGTTGTTTTTTAAACATCAATATAACTTATTTGTTCTATATTTTGTGAATACTAAGTATGATAATTATAAAAAAAAAAAATAATAATGATTTAAAATAAATGGAATTACTACCATATACAATTCATTTGTAGGGCTTATACATTTGTGAGGTCTGTGAATTGCCATATTTTATCAAGCAGGTACCATCTTTGCAGTGAATGTTGGCTGCAGTAGATCTCTAACACTCTCTGTCTCTCCGCTGGATGTGCACTCTCTGAGATGGCTGTTCTTCAGTCTTTACATATTATCCTCCCACTTGTAACTCTGCCTACCTGTTGCCAGTCTGTCTTTAACTTTCCCTCCTTTTTGGTGTTTAAATGTTTTATAACTTTAAATGTGGCTGAGATATTTAACTCGCATCGTTTTTATTTCTGTCAACTCCCTGTGTGGTTCCTGCGCCCCGTTTTAGGAGAGAGAGAAAAAAAGAATAGACCTCCATGTCTTCTTAACAGGCATTTTGTAAAAGTAAACTAATTAATTGGGGTGTATTCTTGGAAGTTCTTCTTCTTCTCCCTTTTCATTCACCGGCTTTGAATTCTGGTAGTTTGTCAATTTGGACTTTTGGCTTTTACCTGGACCTGAGTTTTGCGTGTACGTTCATTTTACTGGCTTAATTTGTTTGACCTTCCCTGCCTCACCAGCAGATGTACTCCAACTTTGAAGGATGACTTCTTGGAAGTCAGAGTGCATCAGCTTGAGGGGTGAGGAAACAGCAGTCTGCTTGCAAAAAAGTGTACAGATCTAAATGTCCCATTTGATTAGCTATTTTCTGTGTGCAAAGATCTGAATGTCATGTTTAATTATCTATTTGTTGTTTGCACAAAACTGAATGTCCTGTTTAATTATCTATTTGTTGTGTGCAGAGATCTGAATGTCCTGCTTGATTAGCTATTTGTTATGTGTGCAGATTTGAATGTCATGTGTGTTTAGCTGTTTGTTGTGCTTACACATCTGCACGACATGTGTGATTTGCTATTTGTTGTGCTCACTCATCTACAAGGCATGTGTGATTGGCTTTTTTGTTGTGCTTATTCTTTATCTGGTGCCCTTTGTCTGGTGTACCCTTGAACATAACAAGGACAAGGTCCGACAATTGAGTAATGAGACTGATTTTATTATGGCCAAGACAAAAATGCCATCTATGAAGCAAAGCATGGAATCTAAAGAGGCAACATTCATCAATAATCTGGCAACTTATCATCGTCGCTCGATAAGCAGACAACAAACAAGCCGCTATTTTGTTCACCTAGTCAGAGGGGCATTGTTACGTAATCAGCACGGAGCAAAAAGCTAACATTAAATTCTTTTTAAAACTCAGAAAAAGCGCCATTAAAACAGTTGAATTGATGCAACACATTTATGGCCATAATTGCTTATCTTGTGCACAAATTTTCAGGCTGTATTCATGATTCAAAAGGGGTGTGGAAATGATTACTAATGCACTTATACCTGGACGCCAAATTTCTGTTCATAATGATGAACTCATTGCAAAAGTCAGAGAACGAATACAAGAAGATCATTGTTTCACTGTGAGGATAATGGCAGATGAATCCGGTTTTAATAGAGAAGCCATTCATAACATTTTAGAGCAAGATTTTGGCAAGAAAAAAAAAGTTGTTTGCCGGTTTGTACCACATTCCTTGTCTGATGACCAAAAACATCAGCGGGTTGAGTACCCAGGAGACCTCATCAAAACAAGAATTTCTGGCCCCAAAACAAGTATGTGTTCTCAGCCCTCCACCCTTTCCCAGATTTGCCTCACTGTGATTATTTTATATTCCCAAAATTAATGTTATGATTGAAAGGACGCTTCTTTAACGATATTGATGACACCCAAAAGGCCGTAACATCGACTTTGAGGGCCATAACAACAGAAGAACTACAGATGTTCCAGTGTTTGTTAGATCGTGCTACTTGCTGTATCAATGCACAAGGGGCTTACTTTGAATCAGATACAGATTATATCTTCAACTGTTGATTATTTTACTTTTTATGAAATTAGTCTCACTACTTAATTGTCGGACCTTGTATTGTAGACTATTTATCATGACAACCAATCAACATGACATTTGGGATTGACTATTGTCATGTGTGACACAACCACAACAAAAAGCTAAGAAGCTGGGGAAAAGTAAAGACACACAGAAGACAGGTGAATATTTCAATGTAAGTCTTTATCAAAGAAGGAAGAAAAAGAATGATGAAGAAGAATACTCTAGAATACAAAAAGAAATAGTGAACAAATGCAAAGTGGCTAAAGAAGCTTGGCTGAATCAAATGTGTACAGAGATTGGGGAAAATCACAGGAAAGACTCACATTCCATGTACCAACAAATAAACATGTTAACAGGAAAGATGACACGTAACTGCACTGGATGTTTGAAATCAAAAGATGGTGATTTATTAATGGGACATAGTAATATAATTAACAGATGGACAGAGTATATAGGGGAATTGTATGATGATAATAGACCAGATGTAGAACTGCAGACCCACAATGATGGTCCACCAATAATGACTGCAGAAGTTGAGGATGCAATACATCATATGAAGAAAGGAAAAGCACTCGGGCCAGATAACATCTCACTAGAAGAAATCGAAGCCCTGGGAGATTTCGGAATTGAAAAAATAACTAAACTTTTAAATGATATTTATAATAGTGGGTATATTCCAAATGACCTTTTAAAATCCATATTTATAGCTCCGCAAAAAAAAACCAGGCACTATAAAATGTGAAGACCTGAGAATAATTATGAGAAGAATAAGAAACAAAATTAAACCAGAAATCAGCTATGAACAATGTGGATTTGTAAAAAAAAAAGGTACAAACAATGCCATATACATCCTAAGGAAAAGAGCTATAGAAGTAAAGACTGATTTGTACTTAGTCTTCATAGACTATACAAAAGCATTTGACTGTGTGAAGCATGAAGAAGTAATCAAACTGTTAGAAAAATTAAACATTCATGGGAAAGATCTACGAATAATAAAGAATATGTATTGGCAGCAAACAGCAGCTTTAAGAATTAACTGTTTAGGTACGACAGGGATGTGTACTGTTACCTGATTTGTTTTCAATATACAGTGAATATATAATGAGATCTTTAATTGATATGCCCGGAATTGTGGTTGGTGGGCACAATATAAATAATTTACGTTATGCTGATGACACAGTTTTGATAGCAACAGGTCAGAAAGAACTACAGGAAATGATAGACATTGTGGTGTTAGAAAGTGGAAGAATGGGCCTCAGTTTGAATAATGGGAAGACAGAAGTAATGGCGGTATCAAAGAAACGAATGATTCCTAAGTGTGTAATAAAAGTCGATGGTATTATTTTAGGACAAGTACAGAAATTTAAGTATCTGGGCATATGGATAACATTAGATGGAAGATGCATAACTGAGATAAGAAACAGAATAGGACAGGCAAAAACTGCATTATATAAAATGAAAAACATCTTGTGCAATATATCCTTGTCATTGAGAGTTAAAAAAAGATTCTTGCTTGCTACATACATCCAGTTTTAACATATGGCTGTGAATCCTGGACAATCGGAGGCAGGCCAAACAATTTCTAGAGGCCTCAGAAATGTGGTTTTACAGAAGAATGCTTAGAATACCTTGGACACCCAAAAAGAGCAACCAAGAGGTTTTGAAAGAGGCAGGAGCCCGAAGGTAACTTATCACAGACATCAGAAGGAGACAGTCATCATTTTTCAGCCATGTTATGAGAAGAGGGAAAATAGAACATGTTGTGACCACTGGAAAGATCTGTGAAAGGAGGGATAGAGGAAGACAATGAACGAAAATACTTGACAGTCTTGTTGCATGGCATGGAGATGTGTCAGCACACGAACTGATACATGCTGCAGGAAAGCGCGGATTATGGGGAGGCATGATCGCCCATGCCAGTCTGCAAGGCACCTGATGATGATGATGAATTCTTTATCAGCGAACAGAATTACAAGAATTCTATACTACATGAACAGACATACTTTCTCACCCTAGTGGTGGTCAAATGGAATCATCAATGAAGTTTTTATGTGCGTTTTGTTTAGTGATTTTTCATATTTTTTATACTATTGTACTTCAACTAATTTCTCACAGGAAAAAGGCAAATATGAAACTCTAACAGGCCAGTTTAAGAGTCCAGATGACATGGTTGATTTCTGGGCAGACATTCTCCAAAAGTATCCATGTATAGTTGGTGTCATTGATCCATTCAGGGTAGAAGTAAGTGCTCAATTCATTTATCATAATTACGTACTAATGTTGGTTATGTTTTTCATGGTGTTGAATAATTCTAAAATTAAAAGACATATGAGCATTTGGCATTGCGAACATGCTTCGTAATTCCAAAATACACAGGTCGGTTCATATGCAGATAATTTGGAAGTAGATTAATGTACATTGATTTCAACAATGGTATGTAGCATCGACAATTAAGAAAGCAATGGCAAACTACTGAACATAAAATTTCCTTTTAAAACCAGAGAAACAGCCAAATAGTGATGAGGTTGGTTCTGCAACATGCTATAAAGAGGATACACAACTCATTTTTTTAATTAATATCATGAGAACTTTTAAAAAGACTGCTTTATTTTTGTTTTTATTTGTTCCCGTTCTAGAAGACAGCAATTGTTCCACCAATTAAATCAGCAAATAACAAATAATGCAGATGTATTCATGGCAAAATAGATTTGGCTGTGATAAGATGTTCTGAGATCTCTGGGGGTTACTGCTGGAGTTATAGAGTTTGTGCTTTGTGCAAGACTCATGGGACTCAGCAACTTTGCTGTTCAATCTGGAGATGTTGGAATAAAAAGCAAGGCTGTGATGTTGAGTCTCTTGTCTTTAACCCTTTTAGCCCCAAGCAACATATGATGTGATTCAGATTTTTCCGCACGTCTCAAGGATCACATCATGTGTCTTCTTATATTTAAGCTTGGTCAGTGTATGCTAAACAAATCTGGCAACCACAGAAGTATTTTTCATTCCTCTTTAATGCTTACAACACAACAGGTGGTTAGAATACTCATAGCAATATTGAATGAAAACAAGAATGATTTTTGTAGAAAAGTCTCATGGTGCCGAAAGAGTTAAACACCCTTTTAAATGAACAAAATTGCTGATTGCCTGTTGCTCCAATGACATGAAAAAAGTAGTTTTCTTTTTATTTACTTACAAAAAGAGAGAGCTATAAATGGTTTTGATGACTGTAATGTTACCATAAAATTTACATTTGTGTTTTAAAGCACTCATTTAACTATTTTATGATCCTCAAGAATTAGGGTTCAATTCATACTGTAAAGGGTTTTTAAAAAAAACGCTCTTATAGTTTTCAGTCAGTTGTATGAGAGTCACACTGTAGAAGAGATTGGGGCCCCCACCATGTAATATTTGCAAAGACCTCTGTGTTACATTGTAGCCAACCTTAACTGTGTAGACGACACAGAATTTATTTCAAATACAGATGAACTGTTCACAAAAAAGAGACTGTACTTTCTGAAGTAACAAGTTAATGCTTTTCTCTGTCCAGGATATTGAACAATGGATGTGCTTGTGTGAGAAAGTCAGTAGCCAAGTCCTGGTTATTGGCGACACGTTTTTTCAGCGACCTGGTATTATCAATCACTTAGAGTTTCCTGTACAAACAAGTGGTATTGTTATCCGTTTTGAGAGAATGAACACAGTCTCAGATATCATTTCTTGTGCTAACAAATACAAAGGTAGGTCCAAAGTTTGAAATACACAGTTATGTGTTTTTGTTTTGTTTTAAACACTGTCATGAAGCTACTTGGAAAAGTGTTGAGTTGGTTCAAGAACCGACATCACAGCACTCAGAGCATTCCCATAAGCACTCCATCCCCATCTTCAGCAGCCAGTGAAGAGTTCCGATACTAATGGTGCCATTAGCATTCTGATTAAATGTCCGTCTTGTCTTTTCTCTGATCTTCGAGCATAGAAAAAATGTTAAAGTAACTTAATTTTGCAGAGTCACATCCTGCCAAGTGGGAGAAAACCCAGTTCAGCAAACTCTGTACTCTCACATTTAAACACCTTTCAGTAACTTAATGTTTTAGGGAAAAAGCTCTCATTATCTTTATGAAAGTCAGTAATAAAAAAACAAAACAAACCCAGTTCAAACAGTTTAGTTTGCACAAAAATGTCAGCCAAAACACAAGGACAAATATGCAATAGTTCTATTGCTCATGTTGTGAAAGACATATAGGTAGCATTCCCTAGTTATTAGTTTTCTTTGGATCTTCTATGGGGCTATGAAGGTATGTTGAGAAATTAACCCTCTGGTGACTGAGCCTTTTTGGAGTTTCAATGCCAAAAAGATGAAGCCTTCAGGAGGGGATTCTCACAGTTTATACACAAAAAAATTATAAAAAATAAAGCGTTTAATTAACATATAGAAAACTATATATATATATATATATATATATATATATATATATCTATATATATATATATATATATATATATATATATATATATATATATATATTCGTGTAGGAAATTGAATGAGCCAACAGAATATTACAAATCAAACTGAAATCTTAACATTTATTCAAATTAAATGTTCTGATTTGCATAATTTATGCAAGCATTTAAAAAAACAAACTTGGGAACAAATATGACTAACCTAAAAAAAATGTGGGTGAATTTTGTGATGGATAAAGTTTGAATAAGTCCTAACACTTGGGTTTTGGGAAGTAAGGCTCTTGGAGGCCCTTCAGACACTTCTGGCACATGGTTCTACTCATTGTCCTGCCTCCAGCTATGTTTTAGTTGCTGTGACACAACAGTCCTTTTCACCATTGTTGGGTACATGTAATCCCAGAAAACAGTGTAAAATCACAGAACACATCAAACTTTCTCAAAAGCCGCTAGTAAACAGCCCACATGGGCAAGAAATGCGAGAAGCAATCTGATTGCCTGGTATGAAAACCTGCCAGCCAATCTCATGAGAGTGATGTTCTGCAAAGGATGATGATGATGATGATGAGCTAGCTGTCAAAGATTGAAATGTTCTGAGTGCTGTGATGTCAACTGTTAACTCAGCTCAACTCAATTATAGTTGTTCTGATGTCAAATTTTGTAGGTCATTTATGAATTGGTTTCTCTGTCATCAATATGTGGCATATATAAATATGAGACCAAGAACACTGGGAAATATTCTGACCACTGGAAAGATCTATGGAAAATGAGACAGAGGAAGACAAGTGAAGTGATTCTTGACTGCGGTTTGTCATAACAAACGAGCAGTGTCAATACATGAACAGATGAAGATCGCAGAATATGATGAGGAATAATCACCCATGCCATTTGGCAAGGCGCTTGATGATGATGATGAAATATACACTGTGTGTATATGTATTTTAGTGATTTGTTTCAGTTGTGTGTATGATGTGGGTGTATATATGTTGCTGATCTTTTTTTTTTTTTTCAGGTTATAATAATGAACTGGTGATTTCAGCAAATCAGACAGAAACTAATGATACATTTATAGTAGACTTGGTGAGTGGTTAAACAATTATATGTCTGAACTGTTCAACATACTTACACTTGATAAGTGGTTAAACAATTATATGCCTGAACTGTTCAACATACTTACACTTGGTGAGTGGTTAAACAATTGTATGTCTGAACTATTCAACATACTTACACTTGGTGAGTGGTTGAACAATTATATGTCTGAACTGTTCAACATACTTACACTTGGTAATTCATTAAACATTGTGTATGTCTGAACTATTTAATAGAAGTGACTATGCTTAGATTTCTTGAGTGGTAAACGTTAGCTCTTTTAGACCCAGTGAATGCCCAGCTAGCTAGCGTAGTTGGCTAAACCTGACTTCACGATGACTGGGTGATGAACTCTTTGTGGTCTGGGTTCACACCGAGGGATAGGCAGAAAAGCCACATTTTCTCCCAGATTTACGGTATTTATCATAGAATCAAGGCCGAAGGGTTGCGATTTTCATAGTACCAAGCCAAAGGGTTAAGAACTCATGGTTTCTGGATATTTAAAAATTTAAAAAAAAAACCAGTGAATGCATAATATATTCATAGGTTCGCACCTAGCAGCCCAGTGAAAGCAAGATGTTTGCCAATTTTACATCTATTTTTACTATTACTCAGGTTTCTGATTCTAAACTCCCCTGGGACTGAAAGAGTTCAGCATATCTCAACTATTTCATAAAGGAGATTACACTTAGATTTGTCAAGCAGTATATGTGTAATTGTTTCCCTCTAGCTAGGCTCAAGACTGTCAATTGACAACCTGACAAGCGGCCATCATAAAACATCCTTCGTTTTAGAACCAGATTTCTGGCTCTAAATTTTATGATGCTCCAAAGAGACCATGCATTGAACCATCTTGGAGTGGCCGGTGCCTCGGAGCACTGAGCATGCATGGGGAATGCTCAGTGTGCAATGACGTCAATTGTAATAACATAACATAACTGGCTGCTGAAGATGAGGACAGAGTGCTTACGGAAATTACTATATCTTCTGACTATCTTCTTTTACTCAACCAGGACATAACACAAGTGATAAACACCTGATGACACGAAGTGCCACCATGTGGATGAGGTCTCAGAAACCGCGTTCAACCATTAGACCATATTTATGGCCAGGCTATATTGCGGCCCCTGGCAAAAGCCAGAGTAGGGCTTCAAAAAAGCATCCCACAAAAAAATGGCTAGATGCGGTAAATTACCATAGTATCATGATGTCGGTTCTTGACTCAACTCTGCTTAAGAATAATGCAGTCACAGTGTTCACAGTAATGATCTAAACTTATGAAATAAATCAAAATTTTTTCCCCTAATAGGCTGTGGGTCTGAATGCCAGATTTCTGAAAATTGGAGGACTGTGTAGAGGAGAAAGGACATGTAAGCTAAATCGTCTTGCCCAGATTTTTGAAGAAATATCATTACACATGCAAGCTGTAGAAGCAGAGAAAGAAGCCACTCACACCGATGCTGACGATCTTGAAAGCATTCAACATGACATTGGTAGTTTGCATACCGAGCAGGAAGCGCCAGGACCCAAGCAGGTACGTCACACCAGCAGCGCAGGGAAAGAAGAACGAAGGGCTCCAGCTAAGACCCATATTTCTTTTACTTTTCCATTTATAAAGAACATACAGAATGAGCCAGAAACAGAGGAACATTCAGCCGAGGCTCACTAATGATAAAAAAATAAAAGTAAAAGTGTTAGCAGATTATATGATATATCTGGTAATCAAAGATCTTTGTATTTTGAAAACGACATTGTGTTGTGTGTAATATATACACTGTCGTAAATGTGATTTGTGTGTGTTTGTGGCCACATGCCTACAGGACACTTGTCTGTCAGTCAAAGGTCTTGGATATGGTTGAAGTTTGAACAACAGATCAACATCATGGCACACCACTAGTAACCCATAAGTGCTCCATTCTACCTCTATCTCAAGTCTGAGTCCAAAGTAGCTCAGCGCATTGCATGAACTCTGTAGCACCGGCAAGGATTTGGTTTAAAAGGTCCCTGTAAATGACAATGGCACATCAGGCATATGAAGCAAGACTTATATTTGTATAGAACAATCGGCCATTGATGGGTGATATGGTGACATTACTTCCTGGACTTTACCTGGTACCCATTTAAAGATAGGTCGACTTGAGAGCCAAAGTCATAATTGGAAAACATCCATCACCAGGTGGATTGCATCTCACAACCTTCAGATCCTGTGCAAGAAACCAGCCGCAACACCGCGGCAGCTCTTAGATTATGTGTATGTGGAGGGACAAACTAATCCTAGCTTTGTACAGTACATGATGAATTCTTTGGGCAAGTGGCCTTGATACCTTAGCCAAGACAATCCTCCTAGCAGATGCCAGCACTGATTCAAATGCAACAGGGGTTTCTTTTCTGTTGACTTTAATGAAAAGGGAGGGGGGGGGGGGGTTACGTATATCCACCCTGTTCCACACACACACAAATCTAAAATATCAGGATTGGTTTTCAAAGCTTGTTTCAAAATATCATATTTTTGTGTTTATGTGCAAGGCATCTCATTATGTAAATAACTGCCATTTGCCATAACTGCAGCTGTATATTAATTTTACATATGCTTCCTTTTCAATGTACTATTGTAGTTAGATCACACATCCCTTAATGGATTAGCAAATTCACAACTAATATATATTTATATGATGAGTTGTTCCTTTCTGCCATTTGTTTCCTAACTGGAAAAGTACCACATACTTTATGTAATTCTGTTATTTATATTTTACCTTGTCTCAGTCATGTATAGAGGGGGTCTCTGTGGCAAAGTGGTCAAGCCAATTGCCTCACATTCTGAAGGTTGTGGGTTTGTTCAACAGCTGCGCCCTTCAGTTCACGAGTGCAGTTTTCACGGAAAACCCTGGGGATTGTCGCTGGAGCTATGGAGTTCGTGCTCTATGCGATGCTCTTGGCAGGCGACTAGCCGTTCTGCGGAGAGAGCCCGAGCCATATGCAATAAAACCTGCTGCAATGAAGTCGATCCTCTTGACTTTGAGTCATGTATATAATGTTTTGATGTAGTAATTTCAGTCAGTACATATTTTTGTGACTACTGGCTGTGTGGGTTTTTACCATGGTACGGGGTGTTGCAGGTTGACCCAGCCTAAAGTGGGTACCAGGATATATGTCATGGGGAAGTAAAGACGGCCGGCGTAATGCTGACATTACC